TTTTTAAAAAAAAAAAAAAAAAAAAAAAAAATAACCAATTTGTATGCCTCTTAAACCAAATGAATCCTCCCCAACAAAAGAGCTGTTGAATGAGCGACTACGAATACCACTTGCAGTGAAATAAGGGCAAAATAGTTTCAGAAAAATTGCAAATTTTTGTTTTACCTCTCCTTCTCTATTGCTAATGATTAATATATATATATATTATTCTACCTCTCCTTCTTAATCGTAAAATGGGAAGTGCCTGAGTGCGAATATCAATCTATCCTGTCCACTCCTGCGCGTAACGTTAGTGGCGTAGTCAAAACTACAATTTTGTTGAAGGAAAAACTTATAAGAGGACAGATTCCTGTCACTTCAGAGCCCATTATTTTCCTCTCTTCAAAAAATTAATTAAAAAAAAAAAAAAAAAAAAAAAAAAAAAAAAAAAAAAAAAAAAAAAAAAAAAAAAAAANAAAAAAAAAAAAAAAAAAAAATCGAGAGCTAAGGTACATCCTGAGGACCACATAGTACCTTCAAAAATGTTCCTGTATTTATAATGTTTATTCTGAAAAAGCTTGGAAATGTATATAATAGGCACTTTCATGTAATTAGGTGATAGGTACAGCTTACAATTTGCAAAATACAAAAAAATACAATTACAGCTTTTGGGGTGTTGTGTTTAAATCCTGCCATTCGAATTAGAAAAAAAATTTCTTACAACTGAAAACTTTTTGAAAACTATATTACGGCACGAGGAATAAATTCCATAGCCGAGAACTATCACTTCAAATTACTCCCTTGTTTTGAACTGCACGTATTTCCATTCTAACTGTATTGCAAAATGCACCGATGACATTTTTCAAAGTGTTTTATACAATTTTGCAATGAGAAATGAGAATGAAAAAATTGCGATGAGCACGAGCCTCACTCCGTCACTGAGAGCGCCTTCTAAAAGATGCGATGCTGTCTGTACAACATTCCTTGAGGCTGGACAGCGACTATATGCGAGGAGCTGTCATGCAGTTGTAGCGATCGAGGAGAGGACATGGTTGTTTGTTTATTCAGGTGACGGATCCTTTAAGTTTCTTTAAGTGTTGAAAATGTAGGCGAACCTTTTTCATGAAAGGTGATGTCGCATGTTGCACTGTACTGTAGATGATTTACATCTCCTAAACGGGATGTAATGAGGAGACTGTGGAGTAAAATTAGCAGTGCTAAATTACGTCCTGAAGGCGAGACAAGAGAACGTGTACCTCCGCTATAATGTTTAAAATCATTTGCTCATAGAATGTCTGTTTATGAGAGCATTAACTAACATTTTCCAACCTGCTTAATTTTTCCTGAATATTGCTGACAGGCCAAGAAAAATCCCACAAGATGTTTCATCCTGCAAGCCAGGCAAGTTATGGCCAGCTATATCGAGCCCTCGAAATGAGGGTCCCAAATTTGGTTTGGTTAAACCAAAAATGGTTTTACCTTCTCCCCCTGTGTTTGGATCTGAGTGGGAGAGCCGTTTTAAAAATATGCAGAGGCAGGGTAAAAAAAAAAAAAAAAAAAAAAAAAAAAAAAAAAAAAGGG